CGGGCCCATCGCGCACGAGGAGGCCTCGCTCGCAGGCGGCCGCTGGCGCCCTTCGTCCTCCCGGGCGGGAGCCAGTGGCAGGAGACCTCAAGGCCAGCCGCCGCCTCCACTTGGCTTCGACCCCCGTCCCCTGCCTCCCTGTAGTTTTTCGAGGGCCACGCGGAAGGGCGGGAGCTCCTTTGTCCCCACTCTGCGCGTGGCCGCCTGGGCCGCCCGGAGCGCACCCCTCTAGCCCAGCCTGGCAGGCTGCGGTGGGGGTGGGGGCTTGGGAAAGCCGAGCAGGCCTCCCCCGGGATGCCCCTGGCCGAGGGCTCTGGGGCGAACCCTCAGCTCTCCGGCCCTCCCTGGGGGAGGGGATGTGCTCGGGGCGGGCCTTTGGAAATGCAGATGAGTAGCCTCCCGCCGCTCTTCGCCCCGTCTGAACCTTCGGGACCCCGCCACCCCCCCTCCCTGCCCCTCCCGAGTGCAGGCCGCCTAGGCAGCTGGGTCTGGGGGGCCACCGTTCCTCTAGGCTCCCTGTCGGGCCGAGGGACCCTGCCCGCTGTGAATTTGGCCAGCCCACTTTGCGGCCCACCCACTGGGGGCTGCCCTAACCAGACCTCCGCCTTCTTCGCCCAGGTTTTTGGCCGGAGAAGGGGCCGCGGCAGGTACCCCCTGGGTGGACAGCCCTCCTTTGGACAGCACGAGCAGGCCTAGTTTGAATCTCAAAGTCCTCCCTCCAAGGTAGGTGTGAACCCTTTTCCCAGGCCGTGAGGGCCACTTGGGGGGCTTTGGCCTGCAGCCCAGTGAGGGCGGGAATCCCAAACCGGCTGGGCTGGTTCTGCAGCCCCTCCCCCCCACAGATGTGTGACTGTGTGTGTGTGTGTGTGTGTGTGAGAGCAGCTGCCCGCTGGGCCTGCCGGGCCCCATCCATCCCTGCCCGGCAGCCTGGGTTGTCAGGCATTTGGGGCGTGCAGTTCTTGGCCCAGTGTGGCCACACAGGAAAGGCTGCACTGGCAAGTATTTCCCAGTTGTGTGTTTGCTGGTTGAGGGGGGCGGGCCTTGGACGCCTGCCTCTGACAGGCACGGGCTGCCAGTACTTGGCCACTGAAGGGGCCGCCCTCTGGTGACCGGCCGCTGGACAACGAAGAACTGAAGTGGGCCCTGGTCTGGGCTGTCTCTTTCCCGGAAACGTGGCCGCCCCTCCCCCGGATTCCCACCGCGCCTCCGCTCCGCAGGTGGCCAGGGGTATGTAGCCTTGTTTTGTGCAGACACACCTGCATTTCGACCTGGCTCTCCAGGTACCCTCTCTGGCCTTGCAGAAGATGTATGGTCTCTGAGCCTCAGTTTCCCCATCTGTAAAAATGGGGCTGGACCACTGGCCGGCTGGAACTGGAGTGCCTGTCAGAATCACATGGGGGGGTGTGCTGATCCTGGGGCGGAGCCTGGGAACCTGCCTGACGGGCTCTCCGGCCAGGCTTGTTTCCAGACCCTCTGGGCTTGGAAACACCTCTCACAGTGACCCTGAAGCTCGGCTCTCGGAGGGGTTTCGCACCCAGTGCCTTGTCCGTCGCCTCCCGCCACGGGCAGGCCCTGCGTGGCTGTCCTTTGTGGCCGAGAATCCCTCGGTCCCTGCCCGGCCCCTGCCTCATGTGATCTTTTGTTTGTGATTACTTGCATGAACCAGTTGGGTCCAGCTGCCTCTGCTGTGAGGCCAGGACCCGCCGTGCCACCTGGGTGACTAAGGCAGGTGGGCGTGGGTTGGGACCCGGACAGGACGGGACTGGTGACCTCGGGTGAGCGTTGCCTGGTGAAAGGAGGACAGTGATGTGTGCCGGAGAGAGTTGGGGGAGGATGGCGTGCGACTCAGGGAGCCATGCTCCCCCGAGAGCTGATCCTCGCGGGGAGTGGTTGCAGGCACTGGGGGCTGGTGCGGCCCCCTCCCTGAGCACGTGGCGAAGCCCGCGGGCAAAGGGTGGCCAGTCCTTGCCACCCATGCGCCCAGCTCCATGGCTGTCCTGTGATGGGGTCATGGTTCAGGGTCACTCCCTCCTAGCCTGGGGAGAAGTGATGTGCCCAAGGTCAAGAGGCCACTGCCCGCAGAGCCGGGATGGGGCTGCAGGTGTCCTGACTTCCAGCCCAGCGCTGTGCCGTGGCACCCCCCACCCCAGCTGTCTGGGTTATTTTGGGCTCTGCCTCCCGTGCCAGCTGTCTGCCGGCAGGGCTGGCCGGGAGCTGTCTGGTGGGAAGTAACCAGTGTGGCGACAGCCTTGGCCTCCCTGCCCTGATGAGGGTGGGCCCCAGGCCCCCTGCCCCTGCACAGGTGAGGGGGGGGAGGGAGGAGGACGAGGTTGTTTTGTAGAAGTTGCCGTGGTTCCCGCCCTTACTGTTGCCTGGGCGCCTGCTTGCCTTCCACGCTGCCCTGGAACCTGAGTTTTGAATTCAGCTCTGCCCAGAGCCTTCCTTGGGCCTGTGACGTCTGCTCCCGAGGGTGTCCTATTCCCTTTGGGTTGGGTCCTGGGGGCTCCTTGGCCGGGGTCGCGCCTTCCTGCTTGCTGGCTGCCTAGATCATTTCCATACCCTGGAAGGCTGCGAGCCAGCCTCACCAGTCCTGTCCTTGAACCAGCTGGGGAGCAGTTAGGTGCTGAGCTGTGGTCTGGGCGGGACTCTTGCAGCAGGAGGTGGGAGGCTCTTCCCTCCCTGCCTCCCGGGCTTTTTCACCTCTCTGCCTCTCCTTTCTTTGGCTCCACCTCCAGTGTCACCTGGGGCAGGGCACTCCGTCCTGGAGCTGCTGTTCCAGGCCCCCAGGTGCCCCGCCCACCGGTCACCCAGCGAGTGCGGGGCGGGGCTGCTCCTGGCCACCGGAGAGAGGGCCACGCCAGCGGAAAGGCTGGGAGGTGGCCGCCCTCGTCCCGCCTCTTCCGGCCTCTCCAGCGGGAGCCGCGGCACAGCCTACGGCCTCCTGGGTGCTCAGGTTGTGGAGAGGCATCCCCACCATTCTGGGTCATCCGGGTCCAGTGCCGCCTCCAGCTGGCCCGTGACCCCCGGCAAGCCCTGCCCAAATGCCCCGGGGAGGAGGCGTCACAGTAACCTTTGGAGCTGTCTTGAGTCTGGCTTTGTGAGGGCGCTGACTCCTGCCCGCCCCCCCCCCCCCCCCGTGTGCAGCTGAGGCCTAAGGACGGCCTTAAGGTCCCCTGGCCACCTCCCTCGGGGACCCCGCCGGGAAGGCTAAGGGTCTTCTGTGTGCTGTGAGTGGGGAGCCCTCAGGGTTTCTCAGACACCCGGTGAAGAGGGCCCGTGAGCATGGCCAGGGCTGAGCGGTCACTGCACCTTTCCTGCTGGTGGCCTGGCTGTGGCACAGTGAGTCGTCCCTCCCCTCCCCCCCAGCAGCCACCGGCAGCTCCCCTGTGGCAGGAACCAGCAGGGAGAATCTTCCTTGTCCTGAAACCCTCTAGGAATTCCTGGGGAATGGGAGGAGTGTGACAGGGCCCTCAGGAGGACACCCAGGGCCCCCCCCCCCCGCCCCGGGCGTGCCAGCTCCTCCACTGGCCTGGCCCGCCGCCTCCGAGGAGCTGGGAGCAGCTGGCTCGGCTCCTGGGTTTTTTTAGCTCGGATCCAGCCCCACCATCGCCACAAGAGCCAGGTCCAGATCAAACACGCTCCAGGCTGCAGGGAGCTGGGCCCCTGCCAGCCTCCTGGCTGGGCAGCGGTGGGTGGGCAGGCTGGGGCCAGTGTCAGCTGCCCTGCCTGGCCCCAGGCGGGGCTGGGACAGACTCATTTCTTCCCTCCCTGCACATTGCGCATGCTTGCTGTGTCCTAAGTAGACCTCCCGGCCCTGTGTCTCAGACGGAGAGAGTAGAGGCCTGAGGATTCGGGGGTCCAAGGAGCTCTCCTGTGGGCTCACGTGACAGGAGGGTGCACCTGCGGGGGGGGGCAGCTTCCATGCCTCCTCTCCTCCCCAGCCTGCCTGAGCTGCACGGTCCCTGCTGCACAGGGCAGTGGCCCCTGCCTTGCCCAGCTCTCTGCCTCCTGCCCCCTTCTCGCCCTGGACACCCGCTTTTCTGACCTCTCTCCACCTGGCCCCTGCCTCACTGGCCTGCTTTTCTCACGCCCCTCTGCTGTTCCGGAGCTGTGTGCCTGACACAGCCCTCGACCCTGGGGACCCCACCCTGTGGAGCCCCAGTGACCCTGCCAGGTCTGGCCTCGCTCCCCAGCTCCTGCAGAACGGGGGGGGGGGGGGGGCTTCCTAGCCGCCACGCACTTGCCCAGGCCAGGTCCCTGTCCTGCCTCCACTCAGCCTTCCCCAAGCCCGTGTGCGCTCTGCTGTCGGAGCTGCCCTCTCCCCCGCACCTGCGGGAACACAGTTGCCTCTCAATAAACGTGTTTTAAAAAAGGAGTGGCTGAGTTGCCTTGAGTTCGTCTTTACTTTTGATCCACAAGATGCCGTCTACCTGGCGACAAGAGAGGGGGCTTCCTGCTCCCCAACATCTGCGCTGGGGCCTGGCGCGCTCCGAGCTTCCATAGGCAGTCCCCGCCGCCCTCTGGTGGCCAGTTCCTGTCTTGCACTTGCCCCAAACCACCTGGCATTTGTGGAGCTGCCAGGTTGGCAGCTTCCGGCACCGAGTTTGCCTGACCTTTGAAATGGGGGCGACCCGACCCCGCTCTGAGAAGGCGCTGTGCGGTCATTTGACCCCCACCCGCGCTGCCGGCTACTGCAGCTGGGAATCCCCAGTGCCCACGTGCTGTGGACCGGCCCCAGCGGCTACCCCTGCCGCCTCTGACCACCGCTCGGGTTTGTGCGGGGGTGGGGGCACTGTGAGCCCGGGGTGTCGGGGATGGAAGGGCTGGGGGCCACGGGTGCCCTCGGCCAGTTGCCCAGATGGCACCTGCTTGCAGCTGTCCTCTGGACCAGAGGCTGCGGACATCGGGGGTCACTTGGGGGACAGAGGACACGCGTTGGCGGGCGGAACGCTTCATCAGGCTCCCTGGGCGGGGGCTCCAGCGGTTCGCCGGGTGCGGCCCCCGCGTGGTTTGGGACGCGCGCCCGGCAGGTGGCGCCCGACGCCCGCTCTGCGGCCCTAGCGAGCCGCGAGCCAGCCGCACCAGGTGCCCGCGGCTCCCCTGCACCTGTGTCCTGCGGGGCTGGCCAGGCGGGCGGGTGCGGCCCCGGGCCCCGCGTGCCCTGCACGCCACCGCGGCTGCGTCCTGTGGGCCAGCAGGCCGCAGACGCCCTTGCCCCGAAGCCACGCAGCGGGGGGCACGCGGAACGCGGGGACCCCGGCTCCTCGAACCCGGGCGCCACCAATCAGAGGCCCTGTCCGCGGTGTGGGGGCCGCGCCGGCCAATCGGAGGGCCCTGCCGGAAGGGCCGCCAATCGGGCGCCCCGAGCGGAGCGGGGAGGGAGCGGGAGCTGCGTCGCCTCAGTTTCCAGAGCACGGAGAGAGGGGAGCGCTCGGGGCCCGCACCCCGGCGGCGGAGAGGCTGAGGGTGGGCGTGGGCCCGGAGGACTGCCTGGTGGCGGCGGCGGCGGGGGGCGGGGCTTC